AAAAAAAACAATTGTTTTTAGGTGTTAATCTTGTTACATTTCGAACAACTGCAAGAGCAAGTCCTCCCGTGCTCGCGGCTGCCAATCCATATTTGGCTACACCTGAGCACATGTTGCTAATGCTAAGCTAGCTCTCCTCCTAAGCACCTTGCACAACGTAACAACTACTTTGAGTACATAAATAATTTGGATCTCCGTACCAGCCACTATGTGCTTGAGACAATTTTACACACAGCACTATCATTCATTCAACCTTTATTTAGACAGGTTAATCCCATTGAGCCTCGGGGACTCATTTACAAGAGAGACCTGAATGTCATCCACAACTAAAGTGAAGATTAAACAGTTACTTAGAAAAAAAGTCAAATTCACGTTGTTTTTGTTGGAGTATAGGCTAGCGCCAATGACAGGACAAGCTTCGTTATTTATGCAATTCGTAATAATTAATGACTATTTTAATTACTCATAGCAATTAAAAAAAGACAAAAATATTTGTGAGCAGACAATAGACTTACACGTTCTTCTTTCATGCGCAAAAGGTTCTCCTCTGGTACTCCACGGTTTCGCAGGAACCGCAGCAATGGGCTATCCACGTTTTCAGCCATCTTCATACATCTCAAATGAAACAGGAGTGGAAGGCAAACTTCTTCATACTCTTTTTACCTGAGTCTCGTTGTCCATGCAGGGTAAAAGCCAACTACCGCCACAATCTGGATGAAATGTTCGTGTTTGTACAATCTATAATTATCACGTTTGTACAATATAATTATCATGTTCGTACAATATAATTATCATGTTCGTACAATATAGTATCATGTTCGTACAATATAATTATCATGTTTGTACAATATAATTTAAAAAATATTTATTTTATAGTTGACAGCAATACTCTTCCGTAATAATCACTTTAAAAGTTATAAATGTTGTCTTTGGTGTCTGTTCATTTTCCAAATATGTTAGTGTGTGTGAATGACAGGCATTAACATAAAACACTTTGCAGAAAGGTGCTTTATAAAGTTCAGTGCATTTCCTTTATTAGTTGACTGGCAGTTCTGCCACATCCAATATGGCGACCGCTGCCCACTCAACGAGGTGTCCACCAAAATGCCTCACCAGTTCTCTGTTGTGAATGCCCTGGCAGATGACAATAGCCAATTAGTGATGGAGAAAGGTCAGGGGCGCGTTGAACCAGTAATGATGTATGATTGTTTGAAATGTGTTTAATAGGTTAACTCAAAAAACGCCGATCTGACTCCAAATCCGTACAAATTATCCCCACCCGCCCAAAGCAATTTTTACCCACAAAATCAGAATGAAAACCGCTCAATTGTTGGTAAACAGCCCAATCTGGCAACTTTGACAGGAAGTCCTTCCTCCCTGTGACTATCAAACTTTTCAACTCCTCCCCCTTTCTAGGACAATAAAATTAATCCTGTACTACAATAAACACTTTAATGTTTCTGTCTGCAGCTGACCTGTTTAGAACATAATTGTTGGTATTTTTATATTCTCTGTTGTTTTTTATATCTTGTGCGATTCCATGTGTACGATCCTTTGTATTGAAACTCTAAAACAACAATTTCCTTATCTTCTTCTTTCTACCTTATCTTATCTTATAATTACAGACCATCCATTTACCATTTATCTAAAATGAAAGTCTTAAACTGAGTCTGAAAGTAAAAAGAAAGTGAGCCTCATGGACAGAAACTGGAAGTTGGTTCCACAAGGGAGTCTTCTATATTACTTTTAGAAACTCTGAGTAAAAATTGTGGAATAGTTCATACGTGTTCATCCCTGTTTGAACTTTGTCCAAGGAAATCTTTCTCTGAATGTGAATGCTGAATTACTTTGCTGAAACTTGCTGAGGCTGAAATTGAGTTGTTTATTGCAAAAATTAGCTAAATGCTAACTAAAAGTTAAAAAATATCAAAATGCAAACTATAAGTATAATTAATACCTAAATGAAGCAAAAGTATATCTAAGAGCGAATGGCTGTAAAACACTAGCTAAAGGCAAATGTTAGCAAAAAAACTAAACATTGCAAAGGTCTGTGTAAAAGTATTTTTTTTAATGCTAGCTAACAGCTAAAATATAGCAGAACTATAAGTGAAAACATGTAGAACAATAGCTCAGTGGTAAAAGTAGCTTAAGGCTAGGTAAAAACTAAAAAAATCATAAAAAGACAAAAAATAGGGCAAGTACACTAAAGCAGATTTTAAAAAGAAAAATGTCAAAATAATTTGAGACTGTAATGAAATAAAAAAAATTGTAAATAAAGTTACATATTTTTGAAAAGTAGAAGTAATTTTCATTTATGGAGGACAATATCAAGGTTCAAGAATCAAGGTTCTTTGTCATTCGCATCACATGTGGAACATGAAGTGGATCAAAATTGTGTACTCAAGGTCCCAGTTATACACACAAAAAAAGAAAAATATAAAGTATAACAAAAGAAACAGTATTCAAAGATCTAAGATATATCCAAAAAAGTTCAATCTGGTCCTCTGGACATTTAAAAAAAAAAACAAAGCAAAAAAATCTAGAAATGTTTCTTCTCTCATCCAAGAGACTTCCTCAGTCTGAGGTGCTGTTTTCAGCTCAGTCTCTTAAATAGCACCTTCTCAGAGTGGATCAACCAGTTTGCTGCTGACAACCAAAACCAGCTGATCACATGCTCAAGAAGGACCATCAGCCTAACAATGGAT